GCATCAAGTTTAACAATGAAACAGGGTAGCAACGAGTAGAGAAAAATTTGCTCGAACATGAATGCACGTTAATGAAATTGATTGCTGCTTTGACAAAATTGGCCGGGAAAAATAAGAAGTAACTAAATTAGAATAAAAACACGATTTAACGTATAACATGCCGATCTACGCAACTCCGACGAACCACCGCCCAATATCGCGGAACTAGAGCACTGCAGGAAGACCAATTTAAGCCACGTGATAATACCATTAAGTCGCACCATCATGCACCGCGAACCCTCCCCTATACGTCAGGCACCAGACCAGGACACGAACCACCAGAGCAGCGCATACGCGACTATTGATCTTTTTTTTTCTTCCTGAATTGTTCATTGTGGTGTAGTTTAACCAGGGAGGTGAAAGAGAGGAGTGGACACTCTTGTAACTTATTCAAACGGATTCGTGGGTTGCGCCGAGCCGCGCTTCCACTGCGGGGAATTTCGGAGGCCAGGTACCAGTTTCACATTCATTACAAAATATTAAATTACAAGCAAAATTTCAGTGTAAATTATAAACTTTATGTCGGGTTTGTATTGAGAATAGAGCATCAAACAATTTTTCAAATTTAGTATAATATAATTATATATCCAATAATTTGTGTGCCAGAGTTGGTAAAAGAAAAATTAGAACCTAACAAAACTCAATATTTTAGGATAATGCGCTAATTTGTGCATGTTTTAATGTCCCGTTATTTAATCCATGATTTATAATCTTCGATAACTTTAAGTTTGCTAATGCGTGTTTTCACGTTTAGGGGGTATTTTTGCAGTTAGAAAAAGGGGATAAAATTACACAAGTTTGTGTTCGCTTGTTCTACTCATTACACATTCAGCAATTGATGAGAAATCATTGAAAGGGACAGCGAACAGTTGCTGGGATACCATTTGCTGATGTAGGAATTCTAAATCCTTGAATTTCATGCGCTCTTTTATCTCACCACCTGGTCAACAGTTGCAAATTAGCGCATAACTTTTCGGCGGCTTGGAGCGTGGGGTCAAAGGAAAGCGGCTCGATTCCACTCCCTTTTTTCATCTCCCTGGTTTAAAGTCCTCGAAATTAATATAATCTATAACAAGCCTACTAGGCCTACTAAAATATCCATTCATTTTCAAACAATGAATTTTGTGTTGCTTTTGTAGATATGCTGGAATAAAAATGCTCCAAAATCACAAGTCTAATTCAAGTTCACTAGAGTGAAAACAAAATAATGACGACGAATTTCTCCACACATTCCAGTCCGTTTTTTTTTCAACCCGAACTTCTCTAGCTGCCCAATTCGAATACTGGCTATTGTTATGAGAATGATCATTTTATTGTCAGTTAGTATCTCGCATAATTTCATTGGGATTTTCACAACCATCTCCATCATTTTCTCAGACTTGTTTTGGTTTATTCTTATTTCTTAAATGTAAATAATAGCCTAATTGTATCTATTTGGACTCTGTATAGTGTACAAGTATAATTTATCTAATTTAACTTTTAAGTATTATTTTAAGCATACAACCTTTTTAAATGATGAATTGTATTTTAATTTAACAATATTCACATATCAATATATCATGTATTCCTTGTACCTGGTTTGCTCTCTCATCTGACGATGAAGCATTCAAAAACACATACCTAGAGCCTTATTTCTCGCTTTCGTTACTCCTGATTCTTAGTTTTTACCTTATGGTATTTTTTCTTCCAACACTAGTTCTTCCTCTCTGACTCCCACCTTTTTCTCTCCCTTCTTGATTATCTCTCTCCCTCTCTCAATCTGATCATCTATTAATATATGTGCCCTTATACCATCTGATAATCCTAGTTATTTCGGTTTAAAATGTAAAAGAATATTAGTTGAATATTATTGCGTTACTAATTTTGTATGCAGTTATTATTTTGTGTAATGCTTATTACAATGTTCATTATAATCTGTTTTTATGTCAAAGATTTGTGATTTTTGAATAAATAAACCATTATAATTTCTCATTGCTTGGGTACATTTGTAATAACCATTAATTTGGTCCAGTATTAATTTGTCTAAGTAGTATCGAGCATTTATAATGATACATCTATAAACTCTTTGTCTTATCTTATATTGTGTAGATAAAAATGTAGGTAATCTGTTCATTGCAGTGTAGTTTAACGTTCTTAAACTTAACATAATTTATAACAAGCTTACTAGGCTTACTAACTTGCTTTTGTAGACAGGCCAGTAGAAAAATACTCCAAAGTCACAATTCTAATTCATGCTCAGGAGAGTGATAACAAAAATAATGACGACGCAAGTCTCCACACCTTCCATACCTTTCCTTTTTCCAACACAAACTTCGCAACGTGCCCAATTTGAATATATACTAACTATTGTTAGGAGAATAATCATGCTATTGTCAGTAATTAAGTGCGTCGTCAAAAAACCTGGGGATTTCCACCACGACATCAAGGACCATGTATATTTTCTGTTACGTTACGTGTTGCATTGACTTGCGTATGTGATGTTTAAATAAAACAGTTGGGATTTGGGTATTAATTCGGTCATTGAGGCAAAAAATAACATGTCCAATATATAATATTAAATATCAAAGAACATTTGTGTGCGTGTGTGTGTGTTTGTGACTTCGCTTCTGCACAAAGCATATGCAATGCATCTCATTTGGTACATTCAATTCATTCTCTCACTTTAATCCCAACATATGGCTCGGTGTAAAAATGTCAGAGGAAAAAATGTCAGAGGTAAAAGTGTCAGAGGTAAAAATGTCAGAGGTAAAAATGTCAGAGGTAAAAATGTCAGAGGTAAAAATGTCATAGGTAAAAATGTCAGAGGTAAAAATGTCAGAGGAAAAAATGTCAGAGGTAAAAATGTGAGAGGTAAAAATGTGAGAGGTAAAAATGTCAGAGGAAAAAATGTCAGAGGAAAAAATGTGAGAGGTAAAAATGTGAGAGGTAAAAATGTCAAAGGTAAAAATGTCAGGGGAAAAAATGTCAGAGGTAAAAATGTCAGAGGTAAAAATGTCAGAGGTAAAAATATGAGAGGTAAAAATGTCAGAGGAAAAAATGTCAGAGGAAAAAATGTCAGAGGTAAAAATGTCAGAGGTAAAAATGTCAGAGGTAAAAATGTCAGAGGTAAAAATGTCAGAGGAAAAAATGTCAGAGGTAAAAAAGTCAGAGGTATAAATATTAGAGGTATAAAATAAAAACAAAATCATGTGGCAAGTTTGTTATGGTTACACCCGGGTTATATATTAGGCTTATCGAAAAAGAGCAGCGAGGGATATTCTGCAGTTGTTATTTCACAGCTGCTTTATTTTTCACTTTCCCAGTTTAAATTTATTTACCTTTCGGCCCCTAATGGTGACTTTTTGCCCGATTATTGCCGAAGGAAGACGAGGACGGGGGGGGGGGGTATTTTTCTTCTGGGGCACGGTGATCCGGCTGCTCTCCCCCTTCCTCTTATATTAAGCTTTGCTAATAAATCCTTCCGAACAGTGGTCAATGCCTAGGCAGAGCAGGCAGACTAATGGGACATGGTTTCTACTCCGAGTTTCGCGCCTTGCAAGCAATCATCAGGCAATTGATAGCATTCTTAAACATGATTATCCTACAACCTTGGTACAAATACCCCTAAAATAAGACTTAACTAATAAAATACAATTAGAATTACTCATGAGTAATTCTTATTATATTGTATTCATGTATTGTATAAGTTAAGTGTTATTTGGAGCGTATTTGTACCAAGGTTGCAGACGAATCATGTAAGAATGCTATCAGTTGTCTGATGATCGCTTGCAAGGCGTGAAACTCGGAGTAGCAACCATGCATGTCCCATTAGTCTGCCTAATTCAATATTTATATACCGGTATATTATGCTTTTGTTAAAGCAAATGGTACTGGTACACTGAGCAAACTTCTGGGGATTTCTAAAATCGAGAAGTTTGGCCATGTTTTATAGGCTGAGTTGTCGCTCCATGCATGGTGTAATTATTAAATAAAAAGAAAAGTCAGTACAGCCCCAAAATAGGATCAGATATCTATGAACCCCCCCCCCCCTCCACTTCTCCTTCACTTTTGAAGATTGTTGGACATTTTATTGCATGGCAATGACTACTATTATATGTAATTTCCAAAAAATGCATATTTCCGACAATTCCACTTTCTTGTGGGCTTGGTATTTTGATACTCTGAAACAAAGCAGAAAGCCATGTTATCAATGCTAACCCATCACATTCCCGAAGTGCGCGCGTTGCAATAAAATATTGTCGATTACTATTGCGGTATGAAATAGTCTCGGAGAAAATCAATAAGCAGCTTTGTTACTCCGATACAAAGCAGAAAGCCGCCTATGTTACATCAATTAAAGAGAAGGTTGAGTTAAAGGTGAACAATAATTTGTGAGCGTTTGTTATCATTCTTATTATGCAAGTGTGGAAGAACATCAAAGAAAAAATTTATTCCCTGAAAATCTATTTCAAATGAATTCATATCCAAGATATGACAAGTAACAATTTTAAAATGAGGCCCGATTTGAATGCCATATGTTTGTGTAGTCCCATATCAATATCTTTCTGTGTACAGTGCTTGTTACTTTACCAAGACTGGGCCAAAGTTTTTATTATTTTGATGACTCCAAAGCCTTGCACTACACACCAATACTTACATGTTTATGCTAGATGATCAACCTTTTCTGATTGCTTCCACACCGTTTCTCTCACAATGCAATCGCAAGACCAGAACTCAACTTTATCTTTAAAAATGCCAACCGCACCATCACATTCCAGAGAAGCGCACGCTTTGCAGAGGTTCGGTTTAAGTTACATCGTTATTTATATAATGATGTGCAAAAAAGTTGATTGTGGATTACTATTGTGGTATAAATAGTCTGGGAGAACAGCAATGGGCATCATTTATTCCCTCGACATAAACGTATAGATATAAAAAAAAAAAAAAGGACAAACGACATGCGATGGAGGTAACTGCATCAAATAAGGGTGGAATGAAGGTCATATAATGAGGGGCATATGTACACAAAAGTATTTTATTTCATATTTCTCGGTAACGAGAATACATGAGAGCCCGCCCGCAACGCTACAATCAATACGTTCGTCGCGCTTACATCGTATGATATACGAAATCTTCGAGCTGCAAAAATCTGTTTATATTTTTGCAATCCTTCGTTTCCGGCAGAGTTTTTTGCCGAAATCCACTCGTAGAAAAGTTTCTGACACTTTTGAAACGGGTTTTGTTCTAAAATGGACAAATCTTGGGACTCTAAAAAATTTTGAAATCCCATCTTCTGCTCGGTGCCTGCCGGGCACGAGCAAGTCACCATCGGAATCTGCAATCACGGGGACGGGTACTAACCCGCAGGCAGCCGGGACTATAATGCCTACCTTACCCGGTGCTTCTCCCCCGACGAGTAAGGCAAAGCCGAGCTCGGGCATCGCTGTGGGTACTCCCAAATGCAAAATTAGTAGCAAGGCAAAGCCGAGCGAGCAAGAAAATACTAAATCGTCTAAGACGAAAGTCAAATCCTCTGACAATAAATATGTTGGTAAGGCTAAGCCGAACCGCGAGGTTGACAACACGAGCAAGGCTAAGCCGCGCTCGGACTCAAAATCGAAGTCTGTGGATTCACGCATTGATAAGCTGGAAGACATGCTTTCTGTGTTAATGGAGAGAATCCCTGCCCCGGCACAGCCGGCTCTGGCCCCACAGACATTCTCCTCTCCGGTTGATAAAAACACGGAGCCCCTCTCGGTAGGAAGATTGACCTCGGGGGAAGGCCTTTTGGCCGATGATTTTTATGATGGAAGTGAATCGCCAGGTAGCGAACTTCTTTATGATACCGACGATGTCGGAAGCATGGGCAGAGCTGTTGGTAGTGTGCCTACTACTGCCGGCAAGGGACAAGATACAATTCCCATGATCGCCGCAAAATTTGCCATGCCCTCGGGGATTGGTGCCCCCTTACATGACGACATAGCTCAATCTATGACTTATTTGATGAGCAACAAACTGGAAGAAAAATCTCTGGATGAGGCGGCTGAGAAATATCTTTCCCCCGAAAACTGTGAATTGCTTGACACTCCAAGAGTGAACACAATTATTTGGGAAAACTTGCGTTCAGCAACTAGAAATAAAGATCTGAAAATTCAGTACATCCAGAAGTCATTAACCAAAGGCTTGTGTGCTTTCGCACGATCTCTGAACCCGGCTACGATGACCGAGGAGCAGCATGATGCATTGGCGCTGCTATGTAATGCCAATTACGGCCTAAATTCCATGAGGAAGAATTTGATCAAACCGGATCTCAACCCTCTTTTTCATCATCTGTGCCGGCCAACTTACCCAGTTACCAAACACTTGTTTGGCGAGGATCTGGGGCGCCAGGTTAAAGAACTGCAAGAACAGCAAAAAGCCACGGCAGGTGTTATGAACACGAGAAACCAGCCTCAAGACAGGCATCAACGCTCATATCATCCTTATCGCAAGGTTACAGACTATGCCAAGCACACCATGAAACGAGCTGGCTGGTTCCCCAATCGAGATCAAGGCAATTCGTCATCCCGTATGTATGGGAACTCAGAGCGCCCTTTTTTAGGGCAGCGCCAGAATTCCAACTTCAAGAAAGGGAATTCAAAACAGCAGGCATCACACACCTACACCCCAACAGCAGCCAACAGGGGCAAACAATCGTACCATCGCAAGAAGTAGTCGAGGGAAATTCCCCTTCAGGCTCAAGCACTCAAGAGGTAATTAGTGTTTGTAATGAAGCCGTGTCTGATATGGTCGGAGGTCGACTGAAGCCATTTTATGAAAATTGGTGCAAAATTACTTCAGATCCATTCTTACTTCAAGCTATTCAAGGCTACAAATTGGAATTTGATCCAGACAAATTCCCCCCCATACAAGACAAGCCCCTCCACACTTACAAGCGAAATGCTATGGAGATGGCTAAGATCCATGAGGAGTTGAATACTCTAGAAAATAAAAACGTCATTGAGCGTTGCTCACACGTCAATGGTGAATTCATTTCACACATTTTCACAAGACCAAAAAAGAATGGAGGAGTTAGACTAATTCTGGATTTGTCCAAACTTAATAAATACATTACTTATTACCATTTCAAAATGGACAACATTTTCACTGCTGTCTCCCTCTTGTCTGAGGGAGACTTCATGGCTTCAGTCGACCTTCGCGATCCATACTACACGGTACCCATTCATACAGAATCTAGAAAGTACCTTCGCTTTGTGTGGCAGGGACAATTATGGCAATTTAAAACCCTGCCAAATGGGCTTAGCTCTGCCCCCAGGCTATTTACTAAGCTTCTCAAACCTGTGTTTGCCTGTCTTAGACGATCCAAACACAAAGTTGTTGGATATTTGGATGACACTATAATTATTGGTAAAACCAAGTCTAGAACACTAGAATCCGTGACAGCCACTACAATGTTACTGAGTAGACTGGGATTCATAATTCATCCAATAAAGTCGGTGCTTGAACCGACTCAAGAAATTGAATTTCTTGGATTCAGACTTAATACAATTAGAATGGAAATTACACTGCCTGTTAACAAAGGCAAAGACGTAAGAGAGGCATGCATTGGGTTGCTAGAGAAGAAAGCCCCCTCCATAAGGGAAGTTGCGAAGATAATTGGGAAAATAGTAGCAACATTTCCAGCTTCTCAGTATGGGCCACTGCATTACAGGGCACTAGAGAAAAAGAAAATAGCAGCATTAAGGTGCAATAAAGGGCACTTTGACAGGCCCATGGTACTTTCACCTAAATCTAAAGATGAAATAAACTGGTGGGTTTCAAATGTTACTTCAGTTAAGTGCCCTATGCATCATGGGAAATTCATGATGGAATTGCGCACCGATGCCAGTGGAAAAGGCTGGGGTGCTACAGATCTAAAATCACAAACGGGGGGCAGATGGAACAGCCAAGAATTAGCTAGGGCTCACAATAATGAAATAAATTATCTTGAGACCCTTGCAGCAGGCCTCGGGTTGAAAGCTTACTGTTCTAACATGAGAAATACACATGTTCTGATTAGGCTTGATAATATGACAGCAACTGCGTACCTCAATAATATGGGAGGTATTAGATCACACTCCTGCAATGAAATTGCCAGTCAAATTGGGAGTGGTGTAAGGATAGAAATATTTGGTTAACGGCTGCTCATCTCCCAGGTACTCTAAACGTCGAAGCAGACCGCATGTCTAGGAAATTTAATGACAACATTGAATGGATGCTCGATAGGGCTATGTTCAAGTCAATAGTGGGTAGATATGGTCTGCCAGAGGTAGATTTGTTTGCAACTAGACTCAACGCTCAGCTACCAAAGTATATTTCGTGGATGCCAGACCCTAATGCTTGGGGTGTGGATGCATTCACCGTAGACTGGGGTACTCTCAATTTTTATGCCTTCCCACCTTTCAACATAATTCCAAGGTGCCTACAGAAGATTAAAGTAGACAATGCACGAGGCTTATTGGTGGTACCAAACTGGCCTACACAAGCCTGGTTCCCCATTCTTGAAGAAATGTTGCTTGAAGAGCCCATGCTTTTGCCATGGAACATTTCACTTCTCACTCAGCCAGTGTCTGGCAGTCCTCACCCTCTCACTAATCTTGATCTCCTTTGTTGCAGGCTTGGCGTGCACACTGTGACCTACATGGATTAACAGAGAGAACTACAGACATTATTGGTGCATCATGGAGAGAATCAACAAAGAAACAATACAACATTACATCTCCAAGTGGAAAATTTTCTGCGAACAGCACAAACTTCCATGGATGCAGGCTAAAGCTAAGGATATTTTAGAGTTTTTCAGTGACCTTTTTTACAGACATAATGCTAGCTATAGTGCTATCAATACAGCAAGGAGTGCCCTGGCATCAGTCATGAGTTTGGATGATAGCAACTATACGATTGGTTCACATCCTATCATAAGCAAGTACATGAAAGGTGTTTTCCAGCTAAGAACTCCAACCCCACGCTATGCTCAGGTTTGGGACGTCAGTATTGTATTGGATTACCTTCGTCTTCAACCAGCTAATGATAAGCTTCCTTTGTGTAAATTGACTCAAAAATTGAGCATGTTACTTGCGCTTACTTCAGCACAAAGAGTACAAACTCTTTGGAACCTTAATTTGGACAAGATGTGTTTGAAGACGGACTCGGTGGAATTCCACGTTGATAGCCTGCTTAAGCAGAGTAAACCAGGAAATGTTGGTATAATGGTGAAGATATCAGCATTCCCAGAGGATGAACGGCTTTGTGCCGTACATTGCATTGAACAATATATAAAACTGACAAAAGAAATAAGGAAGTCAGAGAGACACCTGTTCATCTCGTTTCGGAAGCCACACAAAAGGGCATCCTCGCAAACAATTTCGAGATGGATCAGAGTTGTGAGGAAAATTTCTGGCATCGATACGGACTAGTACAAGTCTCACTCTACAAGGGCAGCATCTACTTCATTAGCCAAGAAGATGCACATCCCAATGGATGTGATTCTCAAGCATGCCGGTTGGGCCAATGAGAAAACTTTTGAAAAATACTACAACAAACCAGTGAATACGGGACATTCTACTTTCACTCAAGCAGTCCTACATCACTGATTCTGATTTCTACCAGGACCAGGTTAGCTATTCCTGATATTTGTTGACAAATTATTGTCGCATATGTGACTACTGAGCTTTGAAGTCTCATGTATTCTCGTTACCGAGAAATATGAAATAAAATAGGAGGATTAAACGAGAACTTACAGTTTGAAGTTTGATCCTTATTTTATGAGTATTGGGAGGTTAGAGAATACATGCCCTACCTCTCCCTCCCTTGCTCAGGATCATTAGTATGTTCTCATCAGTCCTATTTTATTTATTTTATTTGTTCATCAGTAGTCACAGTTGCTTTGAAGATTGATTGTAGCGTTGCGGGCGGGCTCTCATGTATTCTCTAACCTCCCAATACTCATAAAATAAGGATCAAACTTCAAACTGTAAGTTCTCGTTTAATCCTCCTATTTGAGGGCAAGGTGTCCATTCTTCGGAAGTGTGTGAGGCGTACATGTGGGTGCAAAGGAACCTTAAAAACAGATCTCAATCGGGCCCAACCGCACACAGCCAACCCACACAACCATGACGTTGACCTAGTAGGAGCGGAGATAGCAAAAGCGCGGCAGAAAATGAAGGCACGGGCCTCGACCACCAACTTCGGACACGCCCAAACAAATATATACGGATACGGTGAGAAATCTGCCTAGAGAAGTACAGGGAAATCTGCCAAGCCGCACCGTTATCAGAAGGACAATTCTGAATCAACGCAGAGGACCTCTGGAGCCTGCAACTCTAGCAGAATTTAACATGGATCCCGAACAAACGATGACGGATGGGCCCAACCCAACGCAGTTCCTCCTCTACGACAACGGTCCCCAAGCTCGGAGTAGAATAATTGCCTTCGCCACAGAGGAGTGGATTATTTTTACGCAATGCGTCGTAGTGACACGCCCTCATAAGGGGTCACACGTGTCGGAGGGTTTAAAATAGGGATGAGCTTCTGAATCGAGACGGTCTTTTACTTTTTGGAGCGTGTTTTTAGTTTTCGGAGCGAGTTTCCTTTTTTCGGGCGACTTCTTGTTTTTTCTCATTCTTACTCCACTTCCTTTGCCGCCATGAGGTGCTAAAGCTTTAGCAGAGTTCGGGGCGCCCAGCCTATATATGTAACTTTTCGTGATTCCTCGTGATTATATGTAATTATTTGTACTAAATGCACTACTCACTTTAACACTTGACTTTTGTCGAGAACTTTCATTTCTTCGTTTGGACTTTGTTCGTCTCTGGAACGTTACACGGGCTAGCTAGTTGTAGGCTGCCACCGGCCAAACCGGTCCGAGTCACAAACATTAACACATCAACCAATTCAAAATATAAAAAAATGTTAGACATTCATATATAATATATATGCAAGCCTGATCACAAAAAAAAAAAATCAATTTCAAAATTTGTTTTCCACATTGTATTATCCTCAGGACATGTACGAAATACAACACATAGCCATTTATAAAATTTACATTATGGAAGAAAGAAATATATAAGACTAGCCCATGCAGTAGCTCTACGTCTCGACATTCTGTGTGATAAAAATGCTGAGATATTATGACGGCACTCATTCTTTTTGCTTGTAGCTCTAACATTTTTACCTCTGACATTTTTACCTCTGACATTTTTTCCTCTGACATTTTTACCGCTGACATTTTTACCTCTGACATTTTTACCTCTGACATTTTTTCCTCTGACATTTTTACCTCTGACATTTTTACCTCTGACATTTTTTCCTCTGACATTTTTACCTGGCACCCAACATATCACATACTGTATGCATCACTTTGGCGCAAGTCGATTTTTGCACTCTCGCAAACAATGCCTCCTGTTCGTCCAAGCGTGAACACATACCACACAAAAATGATACCGAAAGATTTGGGATAAAATGCTCTTTCATTAGATGTATGATCATTTACTGTTCATAGATGATTTGTTTAAATGGATATGAATGAAAAATACCCAACAAAATATAAGGATCTAAGTTTGTGTAACTTTAGATTCTAGTTTGATTGCAATCCAATCTGAGCCAGAGCCATTTGAGGTCACGATAAGGTAGACGAAAAACATTATTAATACTGAAAATCAAATAATAAGAAATTAATTATTTTGGAAAACAATCGATGTAACTGACTAATATAAAAGAGAAATTGTCGAGTCTGTGTAGAAGCATGTCCAACTGTTTAACTGATTCAACACCAAAAAAAACGGAAGATTGTTTTCAGGTAATAATCATGTCTGATAGAGCAGTTGCTATGACACCTCATTATTACTAGGATGTGATACCATTAAAAGTTCCATGCTTTACCTATGTCTCATGGTATAATCTTTAGGCAAAACACCTTGCCCAGCGATTAACGATTATGTATATTTAGGTTTTCCTGTCCATTTTTAACACCTTTTCATTCAATTTTATATTTTTTTCCTCTTAGTCTATTGCTTATAAGCCTTACGTTGATATAAAATTCATCTATTTTATGTTTCACTTCCGACAGGGTATTCAAGTAGCCAAAACATGTGGAGCCATTTGTGCAAGGGAAACGCACTATAAACGTCAATAACATAGAATGCCTTTTGGATTAAATTGGATTGGATTGGATATGATTTAACGCCCTTGCGGCTCCAAAAATACGAGATAAAGGTAAAGAGGAAAATAATTTTATTTTCACTGTTGTACATCGTAACTTCCATTCTGCACTGTGTATCAAATATTTCAGGCTACCCACCATAACCGCGGCTTTGATCCAAGTGGTGAGGGACGCTATTACTCGCATGTGGCTTCTGTCGCCACTCCTCGCGGGTTGCACGGGAGATACATCGTGGATGGAACCGAATCATCAGATTTTTCCGACGTGGGTATAAAGGAGAGGGATGAGAAAACACAAAGAAAAGCGTTTGTCATATACGGTCTCATCGCCCTGCTATGTATCATTGTCGTAGGCGGCCTGGTGGGAATGATTGTAGGCATTCTGACATCGGACGGTAAGGTCTTATCAATTACTTGATTTTAAGCGATAGTGAAGTGATGAACTTCTGCTCTAGCGTTTATTGCACAGCGGTTTTTCATGGTCAACAACCAACAGTGCGTAACCCGATACCTTTTTTTTTTGTTTCGCAGACAGAGGACAAAATCAACAAAGTTACAGACCACACTAATTTAGCTGACATGAGATGTCACTAAAGGGGATTTACTAGTAAACAATGGCGTTGAAAAACACCCAGTTTTATCAAAGAAGTAAAAGCGTAGGGAGATATGCGCTGAAAGGAAGCAAGTTACAGAAAAGGATATTTCGTTAAATGCGAATGCAGAAGAGGAAATAAAAGGAATATATTTTATTAAATATGATTGATCCAGGGGGAATAGCGAAACTGATTACTTCTTCTCATCTCATAGAGAGACAAAAAGCAGTAGCGGGTCTAGATGGTTTCAACATTCCCCTCTCCCCCTCAAAAAGAAATCCCGAAGAACATGTAACTTGCATTCAATGATTTGTGTTACACTATCATTTTTTTTATCTTTTGCATGTTTGAAATCTAATCAATAACATTGTTGACAGAGAACATGCCATTAAAACGACAACCTAAGGGTTTTATAGGTAAAAAAGGATGAAAGAAGGAAAAAATTACAACAAAAGTCATAAGGATAGATCGAAACAAAGAGACATTTTTGAGGATAGAAGAACAAAACATAAATGAAGAAGGAAAGACATGAGTAAGCCTATGGATAGACAGAAATAAGAGGAAAGAAATACTTAAGAAGAAAAAGAGAAAATGAAAAGAAGAAGCAGAAGAATAGACTTACCTGAGGAAAATAGAAGACAAAAGCCGATAGAGGGCCTTCTTCAGGGTTTCACCAAAATGTATTTGATGCCATCAGGCGCGTACCCGGGGGGGGGGGGTGTCAAGGGGGGGGGTGCTCCTTACCCCCTCCACATTGAACGATTTATCGGTCGGCGCGATTTTCAAATTTTAAGACACCCCCCCCCCCCTTAAAAAAAATCCTGCGTACGCCACTGGATGCCATATATGTTTAAAGACCGACAACATGTGATCATTTCATAATGATAAACTAATTTGATAAATCATTAGTTTACGTCGTGATCTCTACGCTCTAAAAACTCTTGATTACTTTTTGTTCCTAAACTGAATTCTAAGTTTGGAGAGAACCTTTCCACATGATATGCCTTCGCTGTGGAATGCTGTCCTTTTTAGAGATTCGTAATAGCGGATCAATTCAAAAAATGTATCTTCGCGATTTGGTGAACAATAAATCTTTTTCTTTCATTTGTTTAATGTGCTCTCTTACTCCTGTTGTTCAGGAGTTCATAATGCAGATCCAGCTGTGTTATTTATCTTTTGCATTAGTGCGCCTTGATCATTTGATGTCAAGTAGATTTGCCGCCTTTAAAACGTTTAATATTATCATTATTATTATTATTATTATTATTATTATTATCATTATTATTATTATTATTATTATTATTGTTATCATTATTATTTGTATTATCATTATTATTGTTATTATTATTGTTATTGTTATTATTATTGTTATTGTTATTATTATTGTTATTGTTATTATTATAAGTGTTATTACTCCTACTATCATTTATTATTATGATTATTATTCATATCATTATTAAACTAAATTCTAATTTAATCTATAGATGTGACAGTTGACACGGGGACAGCAGGACCATCAG